TGTTTGGTACTCTACAAACAGCTGTTGCCCAAACCACCCCCCCAGCACAGTGGAACGGCAACTTCCCGAGGTGAAACATGGCTCCATTTTCTCCTACTGCCCAGCTTAATCATTTGCCACAAACTGCCAAGCATTCAGCAGGCCCAGAGGCTGCCTGGATGATCTGCCATGGTTTGTGAACCACACAGAGGGCCTCTCAAGGACCTCTGCAAGGGCAGCGGGAGCTGTGGACACTTTCTGGCACCCCCTTTCCCACCCCAGTTTTTGCTTCCCCATCTCCACCAGCAAGAGCAGCCCCCCATGGGTGGCACCCACCCTTCCCCTCCTTGGTCTTGGCCTTCCTGACGACAGGGGGCAGGGCAGGGTGCTGGGGGCTGGCGGCGAGAGCCGGGGCAATGCTGACGGTCTCCACGGCTGCAGCCACAGCTGCTGCAGCCGCCGCCGCCGAGCTGCCCTTGAAGGGGTTGTTGGCACTGAACTCTCGCCACTTGGCGCCGAGCACCGTCATCATCTTGGACATGGGGATCTTGGGGTTCTTCTTGGCAATCAGAGGCCTGCAGAGCAGGGGAGAGGGAGAACCCTGTGTTAAAAACAGCACCGTGTTGTGCATCTGCTCCTGCCATCACGTGCTGGTGCTTCATCCCAAGACACATAGCAGTGGTGCCTCCCAGCTCAACTGGGAAAGCAGCAGAAACCAGAGCTTCCTTAAACAGGTGTATATGCAAGGGGGGCACACCTAAACCTCCTCAGAGACCACCCTTCACTGAAATACCTGCTGTTCTCTGAGCAGCTCATGGTACAAGCAGAAATTCATTATTGTTACTCTATTTTTCTCATGAAACTTTTCAAATAAGCACAGCAAAACATGGGACTTTGGAGAGAGGGAGGGACAAACGCTTCAGCTGTTTCCAGTCAATCCTGCAAATAAATGGAGTTCTGAGGACTGAGCTGGGGAGAGAAGCAACAAGGAGCTGGCGCTGCAGGATTGACTTCACAGCTTCATCCTCTGACTGAGCAACACCCAAACCTCAACCACCACCAGAGGCCCTGTCCAGGCCCATGGTTCCCTACCTGAGGAACTGGCTGAAAGCCTTGTAATTTGTCAGAGTATGATAATCTTCTTCTGAGAAAACGTAATCTACGTCATCAAGGCCCCATTCCTCCATCAGCTGGGCTGAGCTCTTGGGCTCCTGGAGATTTAGAGAGACATCAGTAATGCAAACAGCCACAGCTCTGCAGATGAGCATCACAAGGCTGGGTCTGTCATGTGCTCCATATCTCCCTAGTCAACAACATGCAGGGATTTGCTTCTGGGATTTACAAAACAGCACACATAAGTGCTTAACAAACTAACATTTCACACAGTCTCAAGCAGCAAATTAACATGGCACCATACAAATGCTCCCCACACCACGTAATACAACACAAGGTCTTGGCAGGTTTCACAGCTCCAACAAACTCAATTTCTCCCTGTCTATAAGATAAACAACAGGGAGACAGAACCTCTTCTCTCCCAGTCGTTCACCTGCAACATCTTCCTTGCCAAACCCAGGGCAAGCTTTTCATGAAACCCCCAGTTCCTCTTCTCCAAGCCTGGTCTCAGGCTCTAGCACTAGCTCAGGGTAAAGGAGTCTTTTGTACCTTTAGGACTCCATCCTCATTGTCATCCTCCTCTTCATCCTTCTTCTTCCGTTTTTGCTTTTTCTCCTTCTTGTCCTTCAGTTTTTTCTTTTTCTTTTTGTTGGGGGAATAGTCACTCCCTTCACTCTCAGATTTCTCCTCGATCTCCTCTTCATTGTCTGACATTTCATCATTGCTCCCCTAAACCGGAAAGGGACAGTGGAGAAAAAGCAGGGCCTCATCTCCCTGCTCCCCTCTCACAAACCCTCCCTGCTACACGAAACTTCCCATCTCCAGTGGATGGATGTAGCCTGCTCCCCCAGGGTCAGAAGGGAGCAGGCTCTGATGGCTACACCATGCTGGGAAAGCCAGAGCAGGGACTGCCCAGGGGGAATTTTTGTTTCTTTCTGGGAGAGACCGTGACCCACCACACAACACTGACTGCACCCACATGCCAAGGAATGCCAGTGCCTGCTGGGCAGAGCACTCGAGTGTCTTTCTGGGCTGCCAGTGCACATGGCTGGGACACATCCAGCCTCTCACCCATCAGCACCCCCAAGTCCTTCTCGGCAGGGCTGCTCTTGATCTGCTGGTCCCCCAGCCCTTTGTCAACACCGGCGGTTGCCCTGACCAAGGTGCAGCACCTGCACTTGGCCTTGTTGCAATTCACGAGGTTCCCACGGGTCCGTTCCTCCCCTTGTCCAGGTCCCTCGGGAAGCCATTCCGTCCCTCGGGTCTCCGAGCAGCACCAGGGCTCGGCGGGAGGGACCGGGCCCGGTCAGCACCGCGGACAGCGCCCAGCCCCGCCAGCCCTCCCCGGTCCCGGTCCCGGTCCCCTCCGCCGCTCCCGCCTCCAGCCCCTCCCGCCCGGAGCCACCGCCCCGGCCCAGGGCGCTGATCCCCAGGGCTGCCGGGGCTCGGTGGCCATCGAGGCCGGCTGGTCCCTCCCGGCTCGGAGCAGCCCGCGCCTCTCCTCCGGCGGGGTTAGGAACAGCTGGAATTGGGCACAGGATAATTGGTTTCCATGGGAACTGCTGCAGTACAGGTTGAATCCCCCTCTCCGCTCCCTTCCCTTCCTCTGCCTGCGCTGAGGTTCCAGCCGCAGCCTGGGTGTTCCGAGCAGGATTTTACCGGGGGTTGCAGCACCGATTCCCGCGTCGCCGGGAACGGCACGGGCTCCACTGCGGCTGCTGGAGGCGAATCCCGCGGCAGCGGCACCGCTCCTGCCCCGCGCTCCCGCAAAGCCCGGGGACTGCAGGGTGTCAGTCTGGGCTCGGGCACTGGCCACACATCAAGGCTTGCACATCACTCCCACCCTCCTCTAGCACGGGAAAGTCCCATTTGCCCCCAGAACTCCTGAGGAGGAATTCAGGAAAAGGAAGCCCCACTCAAGGTCCTCCATCTTTTATCTCCTCATCCCAAGGGGAGCCTGGGCGCTGCTTGGTGCCAACCAACAGCTCCAGCACCAGCTTCTCTCTGTCTTCAACAGACGAGGGGACAGTCTCCCACAGGCAGGACCGAGGTTGGTTAGTGCTGCCCACACCAGGCATTAATTCAAAAACATGAGTGCACACAGTGCACAGCCTGTTATTTCCTCCCCACCCCCAGCTCGGCAGCAGGCTCAGCACAAGCTGCACATGGAGCCACTGGGCTCAGGCAGGTCAGCAGCAACAGCAAAGGAGCAGAGGGGAAACACCACAGAAGCACCTCCTCGGGGGGGAACACCCTGATAATGACCCCCCTTTCCATCCAGAGAGACCTGAGAGGCGCTTGCCAGCAGCATCCTGAGCAGCTGCCTCTGCACCACAGCCAAGGAGCTCCAGCCCAGTGTGAGAACATGCAGCGTTACCTCCTTCTTCCTCCTCTTGATTTTGGCAGTCTTGCCGTCTTTCAGCTTCTTGGATTTCTTCTTTTTCTGTACCACAACTTGCTCTTCAGCAAAAAACTCATCCAGTCCTTCCAGCACCCTATCATCTTCTTCTGGGGACAGAAGGGACAACTCACGCGGATGGACTGCACAGGCACAGGACACCACACAGAGCAGAACACCTGAGCAGCTTCAGGTCATGAGACACGGAGCTCTGTGGCCGCTCCTGCAGACCCTCACACCAGCAGCTGCCCTGCTGCCACCCCTCAAGGGGCCCTGGCAGAGTCTTGCCCAGCAGCACGTGTCCTGGCTCTTACTGTGCCCAGCTGCTCCTGCCACTCACACCCAGCTCCCAAGGTGTGGGCAGCACACACCGTGCTGTCAGGGAACGGGTGTGGGGACACCCCATGTGCTGCCTGCTCCTGCTGACCTGGGCCCACAGTAACAGGGGAGCACTTGGCTTATACCTTTCAGATCTCCAGGCAGAGCCCACGAAAACACAGTGAGCAGAGGAGAGGAAGGATTCACGTGAAAGATGGGAGCTGTGGTACCCTGGCACCCAGGTTGATCTGCTGGGGCTCCAAGCCTGGGGAGCACCGTGGGCATTGGCAGAGCTGCATACGCCAGCTCAGGGACCCGTCCCGGGCAGAGCTGCCAATCCCAGCACCTTACTGTCATTATCTCTCCAAACCCAGCACATCCAGCGTCTTGGCCAGTCTCTGCGCAGCTTTAGGTCTGTGTCTTTATTATTTTCAATTTCTGAGCTTATATAGCCACACCATTTTGGAGCCACCAGGACAAACCAGTCACTCGACTCTGGTGAGGCCCTGGCACAGGTTGCCCAGAGAAGCTGTGGCTGCCCCATCCCTAGAAGTGTCCAGGTCAGACAGGGTTGGGAGTAACTTGGGCTAGTGGGAGGTGTCCCTGCCCACGGCAGGGGGTGGGACTGGATGGGATTGAAGGTGCCTCCCAACCCAACTCATCCTGTGATTCCATGATTCTCCGATTCACGCCGTGTCGGTTTAGGTTCTGATAGGGAAGGCACCGTGGCTGCACCGAGCCCGACTCGGGTGACCAACCCGCCCCCGGGCACTGCAGGGACCCCCGGGCAGAGGGTCTGAGACCGCTCGGGGGATACCGGCTGGGCTGGGGAGGGACCGCCCAAAACACGGCCGGACCAGCCCGGAGAGCGCTGCCACCGCCCCGCCCGCTCCCTCCGCCCGCCGCCTACCCGACACGTCCTCCTCGTTGTCCGCGTCCTCCAGCAGGTCCCGGGCGGCGGCCGGGCCCCGCATGCCGGGCGGGCAGTGCCCGCCCCGGGCCGAGCGCGGGGCCGAGCCGGGCGCGGCCGCTCCGCGCCAAGATGGCGAGAGCCGGCCCCGCCCCCTGCGGCGGGACACGCCCCCAGCCCCGCCCACCCGTCACTGGCCACGCCCCTCCCGCCCGCTTCCCAAAACCCCTCAAATCCCCCCAAAACCACCCCCCGGGCCCGCAGCCGCCACTGAGCGCGGGGTATGAACAACTCTGCCGCTGTTTATTCCAGAAAAGCAAAACTGTACAAAATGGCTGTCGGCAGCAGGGCTCAATCCTCCTCCTCCTCCTCTTCCTCGTCCTGGTTGATCTGGAAGTAGCGCAGCTCATAGCTCTCCTTGCTGTTGGCCACCACACGCAGCCAGTCCCGCAGGTTGTTCTTCTTCAGGTACTTCTTGGTCAGGTACTTCAGGTACCTGCAGGAGATGTGCAGCTGACTGTGGGTCCCCTGTGCCCTCATGGCATTTTGGTAAATAAATCCCCAATCCCATGGATTGCCACCTCCAGCGGGACTAACATGTCCCACCAGGCACCTCCTGGCAAAGTTCCTGCCAGGAAACATCATAACCAGGGGAACCACATCACGATGCCATGACATGGATCCTGGGAGATCATTCTCACCCTCGCCTGCTGAGGCTGCAACCTCAGCCCTGTAACCCCACGTGGCACAGGGAATCTCCATGGGATGGTGGGTACCTGCTGCCAGAATGTTCTGTGTGTGGCACTCATGTGGAGCAACAGAGCTGGAAAAAGCACAGGTGCCTACAGAACAGGGCAGCCCCAACCCACTGGGCTCTGCTCTTCCCACCCTTCTGACCCCCTTGAGCCATCCCTGCCACGGCACAGCCCCAGTCTGCCGGTGCTGGCCCAAGGACAGGCAGCCAGGGGGAGCAGGCAAAGGATTGGAGCCCCACAGGACCAGCAGAACGATCTGAGAGTGGAAGGGCTTGGCTGTGGATGCCCCAGGACTCCGCACTCAGCACCTTGTGGCTGCAAGTGCCTCCCCACTGCCCAACACCAACAGCCTTCGCAGCAGGAATATCAACCACACCCCCCTCTTAAAGACCACTTGCCACACAGCAAGTGCCAGGCACGACTCCTGGTCCGAGACATCCCTCCCTGCCGGCCCCTCCTGCCCCCCAGAGCACCCCCCACACTGCCCGACCGGCCCGGTGGGACCTGGGGCTGCCCCCCTTTACCTCTTGGAGAACGGCACCTCCGACGTGACCGTGATCTTGCTCTTGCTCCTCTCGATGGTCACCACGCCCCCGCCCAGGTTCCCCGCTTTGCCGTTCACCTTGATCCGCTCCTGCAGGAACTGCTCCTGCGAGAGGAACGTCACCTGAGCCGGGGCTGCAGCTCCCGCCGGACACAGCCCCTGGCTGGCCTCTGCCTGGCCCTCCCAAGCTGGGGAAAGGACAGCAGTGCCCCCATATCCCAAGGGAGCAGGGCAGAGCCCCTTCCTCAGCCCGGGAGGCTCCAAGCCAGCGCCTTCTGCAGCTGATCCGGCCCCATCAGAGCCACTCCTGAGTGAGGTGCTCAGGCCTGAACACGTCAGATCAGCAGTGGGGACATTCCTGCTCTCCGAGGGGACAGCCAGGACATGGCATCAGCCTCCTCCGAGTACCCCCCCCCCAGCCCGCTCAGACCCACCCTGGAGATGGGTGGTTCGGATGGGCACACTTTCCTGAGCTCCAAAATGCAGCACCCCTGGCCTGGCTGCTCTGCCAGTGTGACGGGAACTCGCCAAGAGTGACAGACAGGGACACAGTCCATGGGCAGGGACAGCACCCTGCTTTAACCACGAAGTGTCCCAACCCCAGCAGTCCCCACCCCTCTGCCGTCGGGGCGCCCCCAGGGGCACAGGGAAGGGCCGGGCGGCTGCTGGGAGCGGAGCATCGCCCCGGGAATGCACCGCGGGGCCGTCACAGCGCCCCGGGAGACGCCGCACTCACGAAGTTAGCGGCATCCATGATGCCATCCTCAACAGGGTGCGTGCAGTCCAGCGTGAACTTCAGCACCTGCTTCTTCTTTTTGCCACCTTTCGCCACGGGCTTCTTCTGCTGCAGGGGGAAGAGAGAATGAGACAGAAGAACGGGGAGAGGGAAAGGGAGAAGGAAAAGGAGAGGGAGAGCCATGGGGGATCGGCCCGGGGCGGCGGGGAGGGGCCAGGAGGAGCTCCAGGCTGAGGGAGAGGGAAAGGCCCGGGCCCGGATGGAGGCCGGGGGCAGCAGAGTGCGGATGGAGCTCGCCCGCCGCCCACTCCCCCCGATCCTCACGGACGGCGCTCGGCGTGCGGGGCCGGGGGAGGTGCGGGGCCGGGCCCGGCCCCACGCGGAGGAGAGCGGGACCGGGGCAGGCGGCGGGGCCGGGGCGGGCGGGGGCC